TGTAATTCCAACTTATTAATGGGTAAAATTCAGAACTGTTGAGACAAGTTACTTACTGTAGGCTTTAAATAGAACTACGTCAAAACCAGTGGGGTGTGAATCAAGTTAACTTTCTGAAGAGACCAGAAATTATATGAAAAGCCTCACTTCGATCACTTTTTAATTATGTACATTGTATAACTAGATTCCTTGATAGAGTCTATGAAAATGGAGAAATACTGTACTATAAAAATCCAAAGGAGACGTCATAAAAAGCTCATATTCACCCCCAAATTCATATAAAAATAAAGATACAATGCTGCCTGAGAAAAATAGGCTTATTTTCATACTCATCTAATTACATACCGACTCCATCAGGTGCATGGCATTTTTAGCCATCGCGTAAATCTCACGCGCCAGTTGTGATCTCATTGTCCCAGCGGTAGAATCCATCTTATCAGAGTCGGCTTCGCTTGACGGTTGTTTCAGATCCGAGACCGCAGCGGAGGCGGAGCCTGGAGCTATGGTTCCATTTTGGCTGGCAGAGTTGGTATCAGTGACCCTCTCAGAGCCGCCCGGAATTGATATGGGTCCAGTAACAGTACTATTGCTGCGGACACCGTCACCGCGCATACGGATCTCGCAGCCGGCAATCTCATCGTATATCTGACCCAGGTACTCAGCCGGCAGATCTTCACTATCGTTGATGCCGCGGTTCATGTGAATGTAGTCCTCCTGAAGTGGAAGTATGAAAGCAAATTAATTCCCGATTTTGGGATAGCTATGAAGTGCAGACTAAGAGAAATGGGCAAATATGCGTTCAAAAACATTCGATATTGCGAAAACAAATAGACTTGTAAGCAAAGAAGCTAGTCAGAAAATGCTACAATTGAATAATATTTAACAATTCGTTTTATCGATGTGAAATTAGCTTAAGGTCTAATTATGAGCATAAGCTGCTGACGTTGATATAAGATTAGATGAGAAGTAGAAAAAATTAATGATAATAATGCAATTATTGTGAGTAAATAACTTTATATAGGGAGAACTAAGAGTCGTTTTCAGTTTCGAAAGTGATGTGAACATCAAAATATGTAAATAGGCAAACCCATGTTAGCTAGAGGTGGTTGGTACCTTGAACAAAACTCCTGAAACGTGGTCAGTAAGTGTCAAAGACAGAATTATCTTTCAATTATGTTAAAAACAAAGAAAATAACGAAGTATGATGAAATACTACTACTTCAATAGTCGGATATAAAATTGGATAGGGGAATTGCCCTCACTTTCCACCTTTAAAAGTTGTAACGCTGCGCTAGGAATGACGCTTATCAATAGAGATTCCAACTATGGTGCCGAAAAACGTCTGGGAATGTAACAAGTTAACGGTCCGCTGCTGGAAAGAATCATGAATATTATGGCAGAATATGCGGGGCTAGGTATGTTCCAAAAGATCTACCTGTCTCCCAGACCAAGTAGTGAAAACAAGATTAAACTAATACTACACAGCTAAGGGAGATTACGAACAAACTCAAAGAAAGACCATCTTGTTCTTCACATCTACGAATAAATTATGAAGATGCATTTAGGGGCTTAAAATCATCTTGCACATGGGACATACTTTGGCAAACAAACATAATTGTTTTTTTCGTTTATAAGAAGGCTTTCGAGGCTACTAGTAGATCACATATATGTAATGTATTCACGCTATTTCGTTTATGGTGATAAGAGGATTGGTAGTTGAAATTTACAACAATTATATGAGTAGACACGACGTTCCCATTGAATTTCACAT